TCTCTCATTCTCTCTCTCTCAAATAAATAAATAAAATCTTTAAAAAAAAAAAAAGAAAAAAGCATGCTACAAATTAACAAGTACAGAATGCTCCCTTTTGTTTTATACCAATACAACTATTTCTATGGATACATACTGATGCATAGAAAAGTCTAGACAGTGTATAGAGTTGTGGAACTATGTTGTACACCTGAAACTAATGTAACACTGTGTGTCAACCATACTTTAACAACAACAAAAAAAGACGAAGGGGCCCCTGGCTGGCTCAATCAGTAGAGCATACAACTCTTGATCTTGTGGTAGTGAGTTACAGCCCCATGTTGGGCACAGAGCTTACTTAAAAAAATAAATAAAATGTTGTCACAAATTAAAAAAAAGTCTAGACCAGTGCTGTTCAATAGAAATATGTTGCAAGCTGTATATGCAATTTTATATTTCTAGTAGCCCACATTAAGAGTAAAAAGAGGGACGCCTCGGTGGCTCAGTCGATTGGGCATCTGCCTTCAGCTCAGGTCATGATCCCAGGGTCCTCAGATGGAGCCCCAAATCGGGCTCCTTGCTCAGCAGGGAGCCTGCTTCTCTCTCTGCCTGCCACTCCCCCTGCTTGTGTTCTCTCTCTTTCTCTGACAAATAAATAAAATCTTTAAATAAATAAGTAAAAAGAAACAGGTAAAATTAAATTTAATAATATATTTTATTTAATCCAATATATAAAACATTATTTCAACATGTAGTCAATACAAAAAATAATAAGATATTTTACATGTTTTTTCCTATTAAATCTTTGAAATGTAATGTGTATTTTACACTTACAGCACATCTCAATTTGGGCACTCAATAGCCACGTATGGTCCCATCAGACAGCACAGGTCTAAAACACATAGAAGTGATAACAGTGGTTACTCTGGTGAGGGAGGGGAAGACATAAAGAGGGATACTTTATTTTTTCCTCTATAGTCTTTTGCATTGCTCAGTTAAAATGGTTTCATGTATTATTTTATTTAAAATGAATAATGCATATTTAAAACCATTCAGAATTATAGTATGTACTTATGTCTCATTCCTTAATTTTTTTTTTTTAAAGATTTTATTTATTTATTCATGAGAGACAGAGAGAGAGAGAGGCAGAGGGAGAAGCAGGCTCCCAAGGAGCAGGGAGCCCTATGCGGGACTCGATC